TCCAGATCTACTTACAGACAGCAGGAGCAGTAACAGACCACCTATATAATCATGGGTCAAGACTATCTTTTCCTACACGCGAGGGTTCATTTGGCTTAACCTTTTCTTAGAGCTTTCAGCTCATGGAGTTTAAGCTCAAATTAACTTTTAAGCTCATAAAGGTTTAAGTTGAATCAGTGTTTTGCTGCCTAACTTTTACCAGAGTGTTTAGTAAAAATAGTGTTTAAACCTGAAAAATTTATAAAAATGACAAAAAGAAATGCAGTTGATGTCAGAGAGAATAACACTTGTTAAGAGCATTTTAAAAAAATTAAGGCAGGTTTTTTCAAAAACAAGTCTTTACCAATTAATTTTTGCTTAGAACTGTAAAGCCTTTGTGTCATTTTAAGAATTACCTACTGGATCTTTTCTTTCACCCAAAACCAGCCTCAACCTAGGTTGACTTAAAAAAAAAAAGAGCCGACCTAAACAGGATCTCTAATCACACGATTATCCATCCAAAAGAAAATGTATGAAAATCGGGAGAATCAAAGTAAGAAGCAGAGGTTTTTCATCATTAGGAGGCAAAGCTCCACAAACCATACTCCTGAACTTAATGACACGAAGATTGAATTTTTGTAACCCTAGAAAAACAAAACAATCCCAGATCCACAATATCAAATCAGATGCAGAATATAATGTTTACCTATCAAATGTGATGTGTAAAAAGAACCTCTTTTGGAAGCAAAGAAAAGATGCTTAATTGCTTATAATGGATAACACAAATACTATAAAACCCTAAATTCTTTCCATCAGCTTACGTGTATTCCCAACTTCCAGCAATTATGTCCGGAAAAAAAAAACCCTAATCCGCCCCCCCACCTCTAAAGTTTTAGATTTTAAAAGCCAGAAAGCGATGGGATCTTATTACAAACGAAAGGAAAGGAAATCATTAACCTAGCATCCCAAATCAAAGCATGAATCTTAACCACAGATAGTAAACAAAAACATCAACAAAAAAGAAAATCATTTTGGTATAATGAAGCGCTTAAACTGGAAAAGATGAGAAAACAATAAGGAAGAAAATAGGGGCAGAAATCACCTGTGATTTTTGCACAGAGGAGAGGATTCGAGGATTGAAGAAGTGAAGAGGGATCTGATTGACAGATTAAGAAACGCAGCCGTCAGGACTCAGAAGTCCGCTCTAGAAGGAAAGGTTTCGAGAGAAATATTGGTCGTTGATCTTCGAAGTTTAAAAATGATCTTGACAGTACACGTGTAGGCCTTAGCGGGATAGACTCGAATGTACAAGAATCTGTCACCTGGCTTCTGTTTGTTTGGTTGTAAACTTGTGATTGTCTCTTGGCCATAGAAAAGCGTAAGTGTGATCAAACATCGCAAAACAGAATTATAAGTATAACTTATTTTTGGTTTTTGATAAGAGTGAAATTAAAAAATTATATATGATAATTTTATTTGTATATTTAAATGTAAATCAATTAATATATTTTATTAATTTATTTATTTTTCTTCTAAAATAATTTATTGATTTTAATATTACTTTAATTAAAATATAAAAGTTATTTATTTTTAATAATCTTACATTTATTATAAATTATTTGAATCTTTTTATTTAATATTAAATAAAAAATATTTAAATTAATAAATATATTGAACAAAATAATGAATAATTACATTCAAATAAATTACTAAATAATTAAAGTAAATTTTAAGAGAAATATTTAATATTGTTAAATAATTATCATGATTTTTTAAAATATCTATTACTAAGTTTATAGCATAAATGTATATTTAAAAAATACTTTAAATATAATATTTCATCTTAAAGTTATTTAAAAAATAAAAGAAAGAAATAGTAACTCCCAAACAATGGATAAAAACTCAGATATATTTAAAATTTTTTTATTCAAAATATTTATAATCTGATTACAACTTCTAATGATAGCTGACATGGTTCAATAATACATCGAAATCTACAAACAAATATAATTTTTCAAAATGATAATTCAAAATGATTTAAACATTTCTCTCTATCATGATGTTATTTATCCCTTAGCTTACAGTCAAATCCATATTGAATAAGAAAATTATAATTTTTGTTGCTTATACTAAATTACAATACTCTATTATTCTTATACTAGCAAAAATAATCTACTAATATAATTTTTAAATATTA